GCCTTCAGTTTTGTACTCAGAAATTAAATCAAAGATTGTTAAAAAGAAATATCCTATGAGCAAAGACTGACAAAACTTCAATGGGAAAAAAAAACAACAACAACAACAAAAAAAAACAGCTCTGCAGCTCTGCTTGCCATGGGAATGGAAAAAGCATTACCAAAAAACACGGATAAGGTGTTGCTTTTCCTGAGGTAAAAAGCAGCTCAGAGCTGAGAAAGGAGGAGGGAAAGGGCTAACGTGAACACTCCCAGGGAGCTCTGCCAAACTCAATATGCAGATGCCACCGGGTCGTCTAACTAACAAGAACTCATGAAAGGGAAGCTGCTTCCAGCCAGTGAAGTGGGATGAATCCTAATTTAACCAAGTAAGCATTTTTTTCTTAACTGTGGCCTGCTTTTGAAAAGAATTTTTGAATTGAAACTGTTATTTCATCCATCACTGGGGAGTTGTCATACTTGGAAACAAAACACTAATGAAGGACGTTAAAGGTACCTGCATCAAGTTTTAAGGAGATGTGTGTATATATATATATACACATACACACACACACATAAATAAATATTTTTATATATATAAATATACATAGAGAGAAAAGAAGTGAATACCATTTATATCCCAATTATTTTCTCTGGCTTATTCCTTTGGTATTAGAAATCCCCACCGAGCTCAGATCTTACTGTCATGCTCACCTCTAAGAGATTGGCTTGAATAAGGGTTTCAGGCTAAATTTCTCCAGTATTAAAAAGACCAGGAACCACAAAACTTTCTTTAACACTGTTAACAGGTGCTAACAGTGAGCTTAATGCCGGACAAACAGAAAGAGATTGGGATAAAAGCCAGGCCCAGATTCCCAGGGCTGTGCTAACTCAGCAGGAGGGGAGGAGAAGGCGGTCGTCCTCCATCTTGGGAGCCAAGTGCCAGTCCTGGGGCATTAAAAGTCTTGAGCAGCTTCAGCTGCGTCTAAGAGGCACCACGAAATGAAGCCTCAGTCACTACAGCTCACAGCCCTGTGTGAACTAGAGCTGATGACTCTTCCAAATCCTATGCCAGGTCCAAACAAGCAGAATAAAGAATAGTAAAGAAAGAAACACGGGTGCTTTTTGCTCTCCCTGTCAGAGTGGCCACAGCCTTTGGCAGAAGGGCGGAGCAGACACCGGGGAATGTAACGTTCTCCATCACACTAACAATGTTGGTGAGAAAGTCTCCAGAGAGGCAGGCCCATGTGCAGCCGGCAGCAGCTTCCAGCAGCCTGTTCACAGGGTGGCACGAGAGGGACCGACTTGCAAAACGCGACAGAGGGTTCCCTCTCAGGTCTCGACTGAACTGGAAGTCAAGTACCTAAGAGACACTTCTGCAACTTCAAAAACACTTGCCATTAGCATCCATAGTGCCTATGTCACTTTTTAAAATGGTATTTAGGTGCTTTTTAAATTGTGACCTGTGGGTCCTGCTCCAAAAAGTTTGCAACTACATGTAGATTAAGCAAAAACGGTAGATCTCTACTTGAAATTCACTGAGATTACAATTTATCTGAAATTCACAAACACAGCTCAGCAATAAGATGCAAATACTGCAAGACTGATTGCCAAATCCAAGCTTCCACAAAGCAGCACTCTGGGTTTTGCTCCAAGTTGCTGCAGGGAAGGAAGGCCTGGCCTCACCACCAGCCCTGACGCTTAAGTAGGCCCATCTCTCGCTACAGGTTAAACCACAGGCTGAAATGCACGGGCTGCACGTAGCCCTACATCTAGTGCATCCAGCAGGACTTCCCAAGAGTGAACAACCCCCCGGAAAGGTAACTAACTCTTCACTACCGGTTGGGAAAATGAGAAACATCTGGAAGCGCCCAACATACAACATTAAAATCAATCCACTAAGCAGATGTGGGGCAAAAGAATAAACAACAGATTGTGTAATCTTTGCCATCAATGAGATGCATCAAATAGAAACTACATTCTGTGTGAGCTTTTACCACGTAGCCACTACAGATAAAATTTAAGGTATCTAAGTCCTGCCAATACAGCAAGGCACGTGTAAGACTAACACCACTGTGACCCATTACGGGTCCATCCAGGCACGGGGATTGTGGGCTCTCAGCAATGGCCTCTTAAATTTTATAGCCTTTACTTCATGGAAACTCCCAGGGGAATTTCCTACTGGACTCTACCTGCAACTTGTGTTTTGCCTCAGTAGAGACTGGAGGCTCCAATTATTCATGTGTAAAGTTTCTCTAAATGCTTCAGATTAAACAAACTCTCTGGATAATTTACTGCATTTAAATTGTCAGCAAATGTAACTATAACTTTCCTAATCTACTTACAAAACAATGACTACAACACCACAGTCACTTAAAAATAACAATTCTAACCAAAGCTGAAACTTCCTTTAAACAATCTCTGGGAAAAGCCTGCAATATAATTAACTGGTAGATTGCGTCCATAAATATGAAGCAAGCACTAAAAATGCTTTATTGAGACTTTGGAAAGGCTTGCTGGAGCAGTATTTTGGTTTAATTATCACTGGTAATTTGAAGCCTGAGCCTTGAAAGTATCCAAGCAAAACACCTGTTTTTCAGTGACACTGAGCTGCTGCTTATCAATTACAAATGCCTTGAGAATAATAAGCCATAAGACATAGAATGCATTTTTTTTTAGTATTTTTCCATACATTGGTCCTAATAACTCTTAATATTAAGGGCTTACAACAGAATATGACTGAGATCACACACAAATGGTTTAAAAGAATTTAAATAGTCACATTTTTAAGACGTATCCTCTGCTAAGAAATTTCAAAGAAACATTCAAATAAGCAAAAAACATTTCTTTTTTTACATTTACAAATGAAACATCATATGCGTATTTATTGATTTTTTAAAAATTCAAAAATACATTGTAACAGAACAGAATGTATACGTTCTTCAGTGAAAAGACAAAACTGTGGTTATCATCTGGACCAGAATACAAATACATGCTAACAATTTAAAAATCATTTTGGGTCAACATGAAACAAGCTACCTGTTTGTAAATGCAGTAGTTTTCTACTTAGTAAATATGCCTGAGAAAGTTAACCTGTAAAGAAATAGGCTTTCAAACTCTTAAACACAAAGAGCTTTCTACACTGAAATGGTAGAGACCTGTGATATGCACCTGACAGGCCACTAAGCCATTTCCCACAGAGATTCTGTTCACTGCTCCACCTCAGCTCAGTGATCCAGCAGTGGCAGAGTTTCACATCAAAACCAGACTTATTCAAGTGAGGTGTTAAAAAGCATGCTAAGATGATGGAAAACCATCAGTCGGATACACAGAGGATATATGGCAATAATAGAAATGCTCTATCGAACTTGTGGTATTGCATCGGAGCCAAGTAAAAAGTAGTAGTCTAGTTTATGAGTGAAACGGATTATATTTTTGGCTCGAGGTAAGACCCTTTAAAAACAATTTCTACATAAGCATCTAAAATCGAAGCACAAAAAAACCCAGGACAAACAACTAAGCATTTTACAGTAACCACATCATGTAGGCGAGTAGGGATCAAAACAGTAACATAAATTCTGCATTGGTTCTATGAAAATAAAGTGTTACTAGTAGACACAAGCAATCTGACAAGATGTGAAAGCAAGCAGTGAAAACTTCACGGATTGAATTTCTTTTCATCAGAACTCATCTGTTTCTAGTGTAGGCAGATAACAATTGGAACTCAGAAAAACTGAGTTCCTATTAGCAGCTTAACTCTTCTGTGATACGTTTTACACTCGGTTTCTTGTATTAAGAGAAATGCAAACTAATTAATCAAAAATGATGCATGTTAAAAATGAAGACTGAAAGAAATCTGGAAGTACATTTTAGAGAGAAAAAACATTGGGCCAGATCCATAACTGGCGATATCTGATTTATTTATCTGTAACTGAGCTACAGTGCTTATGCCAGAGAAATACCTGGCACTGTTTCTCAAACTTTAGCAGCCTCTTTTAAATCACTTCCAACAACTGCATACTTGGTAAATTACATGGGCTTTGATGAAAAATGTCGTTATCGGGCATGCAAAAATTCTCACAGTGACCTTCCATTTCCATAATTTTGTTACATGATCAAATTACATATGCTAAAACATATGAAGCCAAGTTTTCAAATGAAACAAATTCACAACTCTGAAAAGGGGGGGAAAAAAAAGACAGGAACAAGAGTATTTCTACACAGCTGGTCCTATTCTCCAGAGGTGCAACACAATAAAATGAGCAACTGTCCATATATATGCATGTAATTATGCATGTAGTTTCCTAATGGTGTTTAGGAAGAGGCTTCCTTTTCCCATCTTCTAGACTCCTGAAATGACTGAATGTATTCCAGAGGCTTTCATTGCCATAGGAAATGTACAGTATTTGTGGTGCTGGGTGCAGATTATCAGTGCTGCTGGACTAATGCGCTGGTACAGCGTGGTAGATCCTACACTCACTAGGGCTGAGTGTGAATCTGAGAACATTCTACACGGCTCTGACACCAAGTCTGCTCTCAGGCTGCACCTTCTGACCGCAACTTTGTTCTACCAGTTACAATTGGGAACCGAATAACAGTTTTAACAACTTGAGCCAGAAGACGACAAATATTAAGGTACTGTGTCAGTATCTTCTGGATCAGGTTGGAAGACAGAAACCAACATCAGAGCGGGATGTAAAGCTTCTAATGCCAAGAGGTGAAGATACTCAAAGAAGTGCAAGTAAAAAGTATCATTTAAGCCTATAATTACTTAAGGAAAATAAACAAAGGACAGAGAATGACCTGCAGTAAAGTGAAGGGAAGGAAGGAACAAAAAAGAGAAGAAGGGACATGTATAATGGGGCAGGGTTACATCCCCTGGACCCAGGAACTGCCTTGGACACCAGCTAATAATTTTACAAGATAAGTTACATGCACGCCCACATTCAAGAGGGCAACACTGAAACCTTGATGGCAATGCTATGATTCTGGCTGAAGAGCTTCATTTTCCCCTTCCCATACCTGAAAGCCTTGAATCCTTGCCAAATACTCCAGCTGTTTTGAAGGCTGCACTGCAGAACAGGGGGAAGCAGGAGATATTCCTTTCAGACCTATGGCTTCGGCAGTTGGGGACGTTCCATTCATGAGAAGTTCCCTGGCAATGGTAGCTGTGCTATTTGTTGTAGGAGATATGCTGAAGAAAGAGCTAGAAGTCTGGCTCATTTCTTTGGAGGGCAAATAGCTTACAGTGGTACCAGGGGCTGCTTTGTTGCGGCTTGCTTCCATCTCTTGATAAACATCAGGAGAGAGATGGAGTATTCCCTTTGGTGCTGAAAATAAAAGCAAAGACCAGCCTCATTACCCTAGCATGGCTTTGACAGTTAGACAATTCTCATTAAAATACTTTTCACCTGAAAATACAGCAAGTATTTAAAAGTCACGTTCATTCTTTCTTTGCAGAAACTGTAACTCAAATTGCATAATCTATTTAAGCAACGAAGCAGACGTGAAATACCCTCTACTTCCTCCTTCCCACTCCTCCCAAGCTATAAACCTGTACTTTAAAACTGTAGCACGCACAGAATATTGACCAATTATGTAAACCACAAGGAACTGCTGTTACTTCCAATTAGCAGCACAACATTTAAGTACAGTCTTGTGCCTCCTGCACAATTCAACAATTGCATTGTTGCAACAGTTCAGGCTGTTGTTGGACAAGCAACCTAAACCGTCTCGTGCCAGCACGGTCCCCATAAGCAGCAGAGCGTTTCTCTCCCACCTGCAGCTGTTGTTTGCCCTGGCCAAGCCGCTCGGCCTCCCGCGCCAGCGCAGGCACCTGCGGGACCACGCGGGGACACGCACGGGAATGGGCAGCGGAGGCAGGAGGAGCAGGGCGGCAACTTCTTGCAGGAGCAGAGCTGGCTTAAAACATTTTCTGAATCACAACAGCAGCCTGCGCTTAAATATTCTTAAATTGCCCCGCAGCCACATCATTACTGTGCTAATGACCCTCATTTGACTGTCTGCTCTCCAGTGAAGAGATGTTCCTTTTTTATTTTGCATTTAACTGCATACATGGCATTGTGTAGCCTGCAAATAGCTGCTTGCTTGGGACAGCGTAAACGCCTTCTTTGTTCATGATTAACATCAACAGGAATTAGGGGAATATCGAAAAGATCTGAATTCACGCACATAAATTGCAGGAAACTTCTAAATATTTCTACTGACATCTTAATTAGGGATAACTTGTCTGCATTTCAAAAATTTAAATATGTTCTTCCAGAACATCTTGACACTCAGCTCACTTGTACACAGGGGATACATAGTTAAGCAATTTTGCTGATATTCTTGTGTGCAAAATTAAGGCTGAGTTTTGTTAGTTTTTATATGCAATTAACTATTTCTATGAAACATAAGCATCCAGTTTGCTGATATAAGAGGAAAAACACTTTCTAATTATTAATAAATTAAAAAGTAACCTTGAGAATGCTTAATACCACATTAATAACACACTTAAATCTTTTATTATATACCTGGAAATAATGACTGTGAACGTGAGACATAAGGCACTTCATTTTAGGAATGAAAAACCTGTTTGTTAACTGATTTAGCAAGTTCATGAGAGATTTCCTGCTTCAATGATTAATGTACTTGCAGTGCATATTCAAGTCACTTCAGAATGTAAAATAAATTCAAAGAGGAGAATTAATTTGTAGTTTCCTCCAAAGAATTCCTCTCAACCTAATGATACAAGTAATATTTTTCAACCAAATGTATTCTGCAAGGAGAAGACTCAAAAATATTACTAGCAATTAGGATCTTCAACTGCATGGCAAAAATTGCACTTCCACATTGCTGACCCAGCAAACTGCTTCCAGGTGAATCTTTTAATCGATTTCCTCACACGTTTGGCTTTTAGCTTAATGCTAGGTGTAGAAAGAACATCAGTTTCTGCCATTTTAAAAGGGCCAACAAAGTTTCATAAAGTACCTGGTTACACCATGAGGCACTAATAGTTTAAAGAGTGCTGCCATTAATTTTACATCAGGGCAGGAAAAACTAGGGGGGAAAGCCTGATGTTGTAATCTGTGTTAAGCCAAGTTCATTCCACTGATGCTGACAGAACAACTCGAACAAGTTAAGCACAGAAGGACACGGCCCCAAATTCTGACCTTGTTTGCTCTGAGCAGCGCGAGGGAGAGGAACAGGTAACACCTGAGCAGCGACTGCGCTCAGCTCCTTCGCTGTCCTTAGGGCTCAGCTGAGCAACCACCTCTCTGCCCTCCCCACCTGGTGCTGCAGAGCCCAGGGCACTTCATCCACGCTGGCCACCAGCTCCAAGAGGAGAGACTCCTGCACTCAACACCCTGGAGCTGGGCACAGATTCATGGCACAGGATGAAGTCTCTACATTTTCTTTTCCCCCTAGTAGAATTTTTGCCCCATGTGTGACATTTAGAATATAACCTTGCAATATAACTACTGCGCCAACAGGCAACATTAGTTTATAATGTGTAATCCATACAATATGAGTGCGTTCCTTTTTCTTAGGTCTGCCATTTTTTCTTTTTTTTTAAATATTCTTGTTCATGAGATAGCAAGAATGAAACTCAAAATAGATATTACAGGTATTGGCAATTAAAAGTCTGATTACAAAAATAAACAGTAGCAACAATACCGAGTGACAGGTGTCCAGTACCTCCTGAGACCTCACCTATTGTAAATCTGATTTTATACAAATACTTGAGAAATAGAAATGAATATGTAAGCAGAAGGAGATAAAACAATATATTTGTTTAGAAATAATATATTACCCCCCAAAAATCAACTTTAGAAAAAAAAATAGTGCTGTGTTAACTTAAAAAAAAAAAGTTTAAAGAAGCTTAAAACCAAAACCATTACTGCAGATGTCTGTTTCATTGATGTAATATTACTTAAAACAAACATTTTACATGCTTTCTCAGCCATTTCACTGTTTTTACATGATCCACCCAAATATCTAACTGCTGTCTGGAACAATAGTTTGGAACACTTCCAGATTACTAAGCTTTCTAAATGTTAAAATAACTAATATGCAGCATATGATGAAAAAAAAAGTCATTGAGCATAATACAGCAAATGTTCTTAAAGTACTGACTTTAATGGTGATGTTAAATTAATAATAATAATAGAACTTTTACACTTATGTAACACCTTTCAACTGAAGACTTCAAAGTGCTTTATAAGCAATAATGATTTTAAATCATACATTGGATCCAAGAGGTATTATATTACCATCACTGAGTATCTCTTGAAACAGAGTAATGTAATATTCCAGGCATTATATTAATATAGTTGCAAGCTACTAACATTTTATATTCAGTGCCATGTCTCATAAAGCTACTTAGAAACCTGCTTTAAAGGGCAGTGAAACTTGGTCTCTTCAAAAAACTTCTACCCGGCACTTATTTATTGTAACTCTTTACCACTAACCAAAAAGGTTATTGAGGATTTTTTTAATATAATCCCTCTTTGCTATCCAGTGCAACTCTGTTGAATTCTAAAAGCGTGTGTTCATAACCACTTAGTTACTGTGGGACTGATGCTATCACAAGATGAGAAGTATGACATCAAGAGAGGAGCAACTGTAGGAACGAAAGAGCTCTTCAGAAATTATCATAACTCATCTTCAAACAGGCACTTTAATAAAAACCATAGCAAAAAGAAAACCCATGCTCTAACAATTTTCCACATTGCATTAGAATATCATTTACTATGTGATAGTCTCATACATTTGTTAATCACTCACCTGAACAAAAAAATACATGATGTCTGCTAAACATAAGTTTATCCCGTACTAACTTCAACCTATTCCAAAGGTAACATCTCAACTGCTGGGACAGTTACAGGAACTAAAATGCCACCATTTACACCAACAACTCTGCAGCTTTTGCTGGACATGCCTTAGAGGTAAATTCATGAACCTCATTAAAATAATTTCCACATGTATTATTTAAACCTGTGGGCAAATGCATTAGGAAAATATGCAGGCTGGCTATGCTCTATAATCACTAACATTTACAAACATGTCTTATTCGTTCTTGGTGGTAATTGTTTGCAGTCTGTAAAATCTGCTACAGCCTCTGAAAATCCCAAACCAAACTGAAGACCTCTCTAACCTAGAAAGTAAAAACCTTGATCTTCTATTGTCTACTTCTGCCATCACATGCTAGACAACTGCAAAACAGTTTGGATTCTACTGCAAATGTGTGATTAAGTTAGCAAAGGGCCTTGCTATCCTTCCAAGCTTTCCCACTGATGTGCTTGGCTTCTGCTTTTCATAATGACACTATAAGAAGCAGTCTTCAAAAAATCTTTTTGAGTGGTGCTGTTTTTATCCCTGATCCTTTTTATAGAAGGTCTCACACCTGGCAGGGCAGATGACCTTTCTGCAGAAGGGTTTCCCATCATCTGGACCTTCACTCCACCTGGAGCTCATGGAAAACTTCTGAGGAACATTATGCATAGGGGCTGTGGGGACGGATACTGGCAGGATCACTGAACACGCCACTGTGTAGAAATAGTCCTCATAAACTGATTTTTTTGTGCTACAGGGACAGTGACAAGTTACCCCACAGTGTATTATAAGGTTAAGAAATGTTCGGAGTGATGACAGAATTGCTTGCATGCACGAATGCATAAATGCATTTTCATTTTGAATGCATGCATCAATCTCCTGAGGTTCAACAAAGGCAGGTGCAGGGTCCTGCCCCTGGGGAGGAACAAGCCCATGCACCAGTAGAGCCTCGGAGCGATCTCCTGGAAAGCAGCTCTGCAGACAAGGAGGAGTCCTGCTGGGAGTCCTGCTGGATCACAGACCGACCACGAGCCAGCAGGGGGCCCCTGTGGCCCAGAAGGCCAGTGGGATCCCAGGGTGTTAGGAGGAGCTTGCTGGCAGGGCAAGGGAGGGGATCTGCTGCTCTCCTCAGCCCTGGTGAGGCAGCACCTGGAGTACTGTGTGCAGTGCTGGGCTCCCCAGTACAAGGGGGACGTGGAGCTACTGGAGAGAGTCCAGGGTAGGGTGACAAAGACAATTAGGGGACTGGAACATCTCTCCTGTGAGGAGAGGCCGAGAGAGCTGGGCCTGTTGAGCCTGGAGAAGAGAGGGCCCAGGGAGATCTTGCCAGCGTGTACAAATACGCCAAGGGAGGGCGTCAAGAGGATGGGGCCAGACTATTTTCAGAGGCGGCCAGCAACAGGATGAGAGGCAATGGGCACAAACTGAAACACTGAAAGTTGCACCTGAACATGAGGAAAAACTTGTTAACTGTGAGGGTGACAGAGCCCTGGAA